ATTATTGCCTGGACCAACACCATAAAGCGTTTCCTCTCTCTTATAAGATTTTCAGAATTTAGGCTTTCTGTTTAAATCTTTAATAAAATTTTCCTTGACTTTTGTGTATAATGCAAAAAAAGTAGCTCAATTTCATTATTTTGCATGTAGATATATGGTTTTCCCATGGCCATTTGTTGACGATACTATCCTTTCTTCATTGTGTATTCTTAGCATCATCCTTGTCAAAGATCAATTGATAGTATAAGGGTGGGTTTATTTCTTATATCTCTGTTCTATTCTATTTCATTGATCCATATGTCTGTTTTATGCTATTACCATACTACTTTAATTACTGTTGCTTTGTAATATATTTTGAAGTCAAAAACGTGATACCTCCAGCTTTGTTTTCCTTTCCCAAGATTACTTTGGCTATTTAGGGCCTTCTATGGTTCCATATGTATTTTAGGATTATTTTTCTATCACTGTGAGAAAATGTCATTGGTATTTTGATAGGAAACACATTGAATCTATAGATAGCTTTGGGTAGTATACACAGTGTTAACAAAATTCAGTCTTCTTATTCATGAATACAGGTTGTCTTTCCATTTATTTGTGTCTCCTTTAATTTTTTTCATCAAAGTTTTGTAATTATTAGTGTACAAGTATTTTACCACCTGGGTAATATATTTTAGATTTCAGGTAATATATGATGTCCACTTGCTGTCACTGATGTTGCTAATTTAATGATTTGGTTAAGGTAGTAGGTTTCTTATCTGTAAAGTTTTTACTTGTTTATTTACCTACTGTATTCAGGGATAGCGAGTCACTAAGGTCAGTTTATTTTCAAGGGGGGTGGAAACTGCTGAACTCTACATGTATTATTTGGAATTTTTCTATATGGAAGATTTGTTATTTCTCCCTCATATATTTGTTCAATCTTTTTTTATATGTTCATTTGATTCAGGTATATTTATTTTATCCTTTGAATTGTAATCCAATGTTGCATTATTTATTTTGTCTTTCAGGTTGGCTTCTATGTTCTTTCTTTTTAGACATAGTCTTACTCTGTTGCCCAGGCTGGAGCGGAGTGGCATGATCTCAGCTCACTGCAACCTCTGCCTCCCAGGTTCAAGCAATTCTCGTGCCTCAGCTTCCCTATTAGCTGGGACTACAGGTGTGTGCTACCATGTCTAGCTAATTTTATATATATATATATATATATATATATATATATATATATATATGTAGAAATGGGGGTTTCAACATGTTGGCCAGGCTAGTCTCGAACTCCTGACCTCAAGTGGTTCACGCACCTCAGCCTCCCAAAACTCCTTTTCACCATTCTTTTGTTTTTAGAAAACTTCCTTACTTTCTGGCATTACAGATATTGCAAGCTCATCATGTATATCTCAAGCCTCAGCCCTAAAATTATTCATTTATTTAAAAAGACCTGCTTGCTTTTGTTAGAGGATGGTATTTTGAAGATCTCTGTATTGGCCATGTTCATTGCTACTAGGGTGTCATTGTTTATAGGCCTTCTCAAGGAACAGATTTGGTTAATATATACACTCCATTGTATACACACATATCTATAAAGGTGTCTGTATCTATATTCTGTGAATACATTCAGATAAACATAAGTTCATATTGATGTTTCTAACTCTAATACAGCACCACAGGATTCATTCTAGCCTTCTTATCTGCTTATCTGTAATATCCTATTCCAACATGGAGAAATATAGTTCCCACCATTCACCATTTATTTCACTGTTCAATCCCAGTAGGCAGAAAACAAATTCGTAATTGCTTACCTATAACCCAATGAGAAACAAATTTGCCAACCAGAGAATTATGTTTATTTATGGTTCCTTTGATCTTTAGCCTTAGAGTTTCCAGATATCATTTTGCAGAATTGTGTAATTCAGCCTCTTTTTTCCTTTCACCTCATTTTGTGTGATATATAATACATTTGTCATACTGTAACACAGTTAGATTCATTCATCTCAATTTGCCTTCAATTCTTGGGATCCCAGACATCTTGGTTGATGATGCTAGATTTTGGTTTTTAGTTTGCTTATATTTTAACTTTTAGTTTTATTGCTTTGAGATTAGAGAATGCTATTGTTATTAACTCGTATTTATAGAAATTATATAGGTATTTTTGGTGACCTTAAATATTTTTATGTTTTGTGAATATTCAGAGTATTCAGTCATTCATTGTGATATGTGGTTCTATGGACATTTACAAATGCATAAATTCATATATCTACCATTGTTGCCTCCTAATTTTCACGACTGTATTTTTTAAGAGATTACTCACCTTATCTAGGTTTTCAAATGTGCTGACATTGATTTATGTGAAACAGATCTATCTGCCCTCTTCCTCTTCACTGTCTCCTACCAGTCTTCATCTACCTTTCTGTTTTGGTGACGACTCAAGACTCTGCTGGGTTTTGATGTTTACTTTTCTACTCATATGTGTATCAAAGTTTGTATTGTTATTATTTTGTCTCCTACTTATGATTTGAGCTTAGGTTATGGGTAGTTTTATTTGCTCCCCTGTTTGATATCTATGGGTAGATATGTATGAATTGAATATGGGGAATATGTGTGAAGAGACTGACATTTAATAGGTCTTCATCACAGAGAAAATTGGAGGTACATCTCCCCCAAACTACCCCACCAAAACTTACCTTTATAAATAGAAAACTATTTGGACTATGTATTTATATGATGGGATTAAATTATAAATGTGTAGTTTTTTATAAGATTTCTGAGAAAATTAACATCAATGTAAAAGCAGAAATAAAATAGATGAGTGCTAGAACTAAGATAACCACATTATTGTAATTCTTTCAGAAAATTTCTAATATATAAACCTCAAAATTCAAGAAATCGTAATGGGCACACTCACCATTCTCCTGCCAGTGAAGCTACAATTTACATTTAAATAACGAAAATTAACTGGATGATAAAAGAGTTCTACTAATATACACTGGAGAGCTCAGAGCTCTCCAAAAATTAGAATGATCAAAAGAAAATCAATGTATTTGCAAGCACATTTGTAATTAACATAGATGTTTTAAAAAGTAGAGTTGGGAGCTGATGACTCTGAAGAAGAAAACCAATTATCTGGAATAAATTTACAGCAGTAACAACGAAGGCATTGAAAAATGTTCCACTTCAGGTTTTCAGCTAAGACATGCATGTATAAAATTTGATTTATCATTTTTTAAAAATAAGTAAGCCATGTCAAGAAAAATGTTATGAATATAAAAAGAAAATTACTAAATCAAGAAAAACACAAAAAGATACTACTAACACTTTAAACTTATGATCGTAACCTCACATGGACCCCCTAATAGTGCCCAGCAATTATTCGACTTTTCTCTAGTGTGTTAGGTTTAGTCACCTTCCTACTCTTAAGTGATTGACACAGTTTTCCTACATCACTGAAATTAAAAAATTAAACCATCAGCTGGGCACAGTGGCTCATGCCTGTAATCCTAGCACTTTGGGAAGCGGAGGTAGGCGGATCACCTGAGGTCATGAGTTGAAACCAGCCTGGCCAACATGGTGAAACCCCATCTCTACTAAAAATACAAAAATTAGCTGGGTGTGGTGGCACACGCCTGTAATACCAGCTACCCAGGAGGATGAGGCAGGAGAATCACTGGAACCCAGGAGGCAGAGGCTGCAGTGAGCCGAAATCTCGCCACTGCATTCTAGCCTGGGCAACAGAAGGGGACTCCATCTCAAAAAACAAAAACAAACAAACAAACTCGAAACTATTACACTTGAGTTCTAAGGTCTCTCCTCTAACCAAACCTAAAACCTGCAAGGATTTTCACAGAGGAAGAATTTCTGCTCTATGACAGGCAACTCTCTAACAGATAATATCCCAACTCATCTTCACACACAGCTTACTCTTTTTATTTTATCTCCCTTCTGGTGTAGTCAACTTTCAATATTTTATTTATAGTTATTATGTCTATTTTTCTAGGTTTTCATTTCTGAGTTTTACTTACCAATTTTGTCATCAGATTTATGTTGGTTTCTCTTGTTGAGTTGTGGAGTTATATAGTCTAGAAAAAAAATTTTAAATGGAAATTATCAGAATTTGGAAAAACATAGGTAGAATTCACCCACCTCAACACACACACACACTGTACTTGATCATAATGATGGTGATGATTATAACTTTTACTTTCTTTTAATGTTTTTCACTTGTTTTAATATATTCACATTTTTCTGATCATTGATACAATTGGACTTATCCCTACAATCTTAATAAATTTTCTCTTTATCATGCTCTGCATTTTTCTTTTTTGTATCATTTTGCCTTTTATTTAATTGATTATACTTTGTTAAATCAAGTTTATACAGGCAGTTTTCTTTTCTCTTTTTTTTTTTTTTTTTTTTTTTTTTTTGACAGGGTCTCACTTTCACCCAGGCTGAACTGTAGTGGTGTAATCACTGCTCACTGCAGTCTCAACCTCCCAGCCTCAACCTCTGAGGCTTTCCACCTCAGCCTCTTGGGTAGCTGGGATGACAGGTGTGTGCCTTTATGCCAGGCTAATTTTTATATGTTTCGTAGAGACAGAGTTTTGTCATGTTGCCCAGGCTGGCCTCAAACTGCTGGGCTTAAGCAATCCACCCGCAGTCTCCCATGGTGCTGAAATTACAGGCGTGAATCATCATACCTACAAACACAAGTATTTTTGGTAAGTATTTACTTCCTATTTGTGTTACTCTCGAGCATATTTAGATACGCATATATATTTTTTTTCTTTTTTTGAGACGGAGTCTCGCTCTGTCGCCCAGGCTGCAAGCTCTGCCTCCCAAGTTCACCCCATTCTCCTGCCTCAGCCTCCCGAGTAGCTGGGACTACAGGCACCTGCCACCACGCCCAGGTATTTTTTTTTTTTTTTTTTTTTGTACTTTTAGTAGAGACGGGGTTTCACCGTGTTAGCCAGGGTGGTCTCCATTTCCTGACCTTATGATCCCTCCGCCTCAGCCTTCCAAACTGCTGGGATTACAGGCGTGAGCCACCACACCCAGCCTAGATATGCACATATTAATAGAAGTAGATATTTATATTCAGCATCAAAATTATTCCCCTGAAAAGGTGAAGAATGAGAAAATGTTTACATTTCCCTTGTTCTTTGTCACTTATATTACCTGAGATTTGAAATTTTATATGCAGAATTTTACTTTTATATTTCGTTATTATTTCAACCTAATGTCATGTTTAGCTTCATTGTTTGCTGGCTGTTATTGTTATACTCCTTCCCCGACCATGCTTTTAGTAATATTTTTGGAAGGATCACTGTGGGTCTTTTCCCCTTTCTTTTAGAAAGCATTTTGACTGGAAACTGGAGATCAGACTATTCTTTGTTAAATCAGAAGAACTGTTCAACTAACTGTCCTTTTATCATCAATGTTTAGTACTTTTCCCGGCACTAGAGGTTCCCTAGCAAATGTTTATTGAAAGGATTATTCGATGTTTCTGGAAGACCAGATGTTGAACTACCAGGATGTGTCAAATGAATGCCATACTTAGGATCTTCCCAAGTGGAGCTCTGACTTTTGAAAGGTGACACTGATCAGCATTATCCTTTGAAATCAGACTTGTTTAAATATATCTATTTCTATATATCTATAGCTACATCTACACATTAGGGAATAGGAAATAGGAAGCTGTCTAAAGGGAAAAGTTCAGAGAAATAGGGGAAGCAGTACTTTGATATAATGAAGAGGAAGAAACTAGGGATTTGCCAGAGTTTTAATTTGTCTATTTGATGAATAACCCTGTGCAAACATAAACTGACAGAAAGTGAGGAATAGGCTATGCATAGGATGAAGCAAGAAAATGAGGATACAGGATGAAGAAGACAAACACTGATAATTTTATACAAATGAGATTAGCAATTATTTACATTTTCAGTTTTCCACTTATTTATTAACTTTGTAACGCTTCTCATTTTCTTTATTATATAAATCATATGGTAAAGGGACAGCAATGAATATAGTAAGAGAACTATGTTAGTGTGAAATTTAGATTGCCATTCTACAAAATGAAATTTTAATATATGTAAAGTTATTTTAAGAAAGGGAGGAGATAACTCATTCTATGAGGCCAGCATCATCCTGATATCAAAACCTGGCAGAGATACAACAAAAAAGAAAATTTGAAGCCTATATCTTTGATGAACATCGATGCAAAAATCCTCAGCAAAATAATGGCAAACCGAATCCAGCAGCACATCAAAATCTTATCCACCATGATCAAGTATGCTTCATCTCTGGGTTGCAAGTTGGTCTAACATTGCAAATCAATAAATGTAATTCATCACATAAACAGAACTAAAGACAAATCCACATAATTATCTCAATAGATGCAGAAAAGACTTTTGATAAAATTAAATATCCATTCATCTTAAAAACTCCCAATAAACTAGGTATTGAAGGAAGATACCTCAAAATAAAAAGAGCAATATATCACAAACCCACAGCCAACATCATACTGAATGGGTAAAGTCTGGAAGCATTCCTTCCCAAACCAGCACAAGATAAGGATGCAATCTCTCACCACACCTATTTAAAATAATTTTAGTTGTTCCAACCAGGGCAATCAGACAAGATAAAGAAATAAAGGGCATCCAAATGGCATGAGAGGAAGTAAAACTATTTCTGTTTGCAGATGACATGATCTGATATCTAGAAAACCTCATAGTCTCAGCCCCAAAGCTTCTCAAGCTTATAAACAACTTCAGCGAAATATCGGGATCAAAAAATTTTGCACAAAAATCAATGTGAAAAAAATCACTAGCATTCCTATACATCAACAAGAGTAAAGCTGAGAGACAAATCAGGAATGAACTACCATTCTCAACTGACACAAAAAGAATAAAATACCTAGTAATACAGCTAACTAGGGAGGTGAAAGATCTCTACAAGGAGAACTACAAGCCACTGTTCAAATAAATCAGAGATGACAGAAACAAATGGAAAAACATTCCATGCTCATGGATAGGAAGAATCAATATTATTAAAATGGTCAGTTATACAACCCACAGCAATTTATAAATCTAATGATATTTCTATTAAACTATCATTGACATTCTTCACAGAACTGCAGAAAACTATTTTAAAATAGAAAAAAAAGAGACTGAATAGACAAGGCAATCCTAAGCAAAAAGAACAAAGCTGGAACTATCACTCTACCTTGACTTTAAACTATCCTACAGGGCTACACTAACCAAAACAGCATGGTAGTGGTACAAAAACAGACACATAGATCAATGAAACAGAATACAGAACCCAGAAATAAGACACACACTTACAATGATCTGATCTTTGACAAACCGGACAAAAACATGCAATGGAGAAAAAATTCCCTATTCAATAAATGGTACTGGAATAAATGACTAGCCATATGCAGAAAATAGAAACTGGACCCCTTCCTTATATAATATACACAAATAACTCAATGTAAATGTAAATGTAAAACCCAAAGCTGTAAAAACCCGGGAAGACAGCCCAGGCAGTACCATTCAGGACATAGGTGTGGGCAAAGATATCATGATGAAGATGCCAAAAGCAATTGTTACAAAAGCAAAAATTGACAAATGGGGTCTTCATCTCTGGGTTGCACATTGGTCCAACATTGCAAATCAATAAATGTAATTCATTACATAAACAGAAATAAAGACAAAAACCACATGATTATCTCAATAGATGCAGAAAAGACTTTTGACAAAATTCAATATCCATTCATCTTAAAAACTCCCAATAAACTAGGTATAGAAGGAACATAGCTCAAAATAATAAGAGCCATATATCCCACAAATGAGATCTAATTAAACTGAAGAGCTTCTGCACAGCAAAATAAATTGCCATCAGAGTAAACAGACCACATATGTAGTGGGAGACAATTTTTGCAAACTATTCAGTCTGACAAAGGTCTGATATTCAAAGTTTATGAGGAACTTATACACATTTACAAGAAAAAAACAAAAACTCCATAAAAACTTGAGCAAAGAAAATGAACAGACACTTTTCAAAAGAAGACATACATGTGGTCAATAATCATATGAAAGAAAGTTCAACATCATTGATCATTAGAGAAATGCGAATCAAAGCCACGATGAGATACCATCTAACACCAGTCAGAATGACGATTATTAAAAAGTGAAGAAACAACATATGCTAGCAAGGCTGCAGAGAAAAGGATGGCTTATACATTGTTGGTGGAAGTATAAATACTTCAATCATTGTAGAAGACAGTGTGGCAATTCCTCAAAAACATAAAGACAGAAATAGCATTCCACCTATTAATCCCACTATTTAGTATTTTCCCAAAGGAATATAATCATTCTATCATAAAGATACATGCACAAATGTGTTCACTGCAACACTATTCACAATAGCAAAGACACAGAACCAACCATCAGAACCATCATGACCATCATGAACCATCAGAACCATCATGAAATACTATGCAGCCATAAAAAAAGAACAAGATCATGTTCTTTGCAGGGACATGGATGGAGCTGGAGGCTGTTATCCTCAGCAAACTACACAGAAACAGAAAACCAAATACCACATGTTCTCACTTATAAGTGTGAGATAAATGATGAGAACACATAGAAACATAGAGGGGGATAACACACACCAGGGCCTCTTGGAGGGTGGAGGGTGGAGGGTGGAAGGAAGGAGGCTAGCAGAAAAAATAACTAATGGGTATTAGGCTTAATACCTGGGTAATGAAATAATCTATATAACAAACCTCCATGACACAAGTTTACCTATGCAACAAACTTGCACTTACACCCCGAACATAAAATAAAAGTTAAAAAAAAAAAAAAAAAGGGAAGAGAAACTAGAAAGATTGGGACAAGTGCAACATACAGAAAGAATTAAAATTCAGTGGAAGATGGCTGAATAGGAACAGCTCCAGCCTCCAGCTACCACCCGTGAGCAACACAGAAGATGGGTGATTACTGCATTTTCAACTAAGGTACTAGGTTCATCTCACTGGGGTGTATCAGACAGTCAGCGCTGGTCAGTGTGTGCAGCCCGACCAGCGAGAGCTGAAGTAGGGTGAGGCATCACCTCACTTGGGAAGCACAAGGGGGAAGGGAATTCCTTTTCCTAGCCAAGGAAAACTGAGACACACAACACCTGAAAAATCGGGTAACTCCCTAATACTATGCTTTACAAAGGGTCTTAGCAAACAGCACACCAGGAGATTATATCCCACACCTGGTCTAGAGGGTCCCACGCCCACGGAGCCTCCCTCATTGCTAGCACAGCAGTCTGAGATCTAACTGCAAGGCAGTAGCAAGGTTGGGAGAGGGACGCCCGCCATTGCTGAGGCTCAAGTAGATAAACAGGGCCACCGGGAAGCTCGAATTGGGTGGAGCCCACCGCAGCTCAAGGAGGCCTGCCTGTCTCTGTAGACTCCACCTCTGGGGACAGGGAATAGCTAAACAAAAAGCAGCAGAAACCTCTGCAGATGTAAATGCCCCTGTCTGACAGCTTTGAAGAGAGCAGTGGTTCTCCCAGCATGGAGGTTGAGATCTGAGAATGAACAGACTGCCTGCTCAAGTGGGTCCCTGACCCCTGAGTAGCCTAACTGGGAGACATTCCCCAATAGGTGCAGACTGACACCTCACACCTCACACAGCAGGGTATACCTCTGAGACGAAGCTTCTAGAGCAAGAATCAGACAGCAACATTCACTGTTCAGCAAGTTCTATTTTCTGCAGCCTCCAATGCTGACACCCAGGCAAACAGGGTCTGGAGTTGACCTCAAGCAAACTCCAACAGACCTGCAGCTGAGGGTCCTGATTGTTAGAAGGTAAACTAACAAACAGAAAGGATACCCACACCAAAACCCCATCAGTACGTCACCATCATCAAAGACCAAAGGCAGATAAAACCACAATGATGGGGAAAAAGCGTGCAGAAAAGCTGGAAATTCAAAAAACCAGAGAGCATCTGCCCCTCCAAGGGAATGCAGCTCATTGCCAGCAACAGAACACAGCTGGATGGAGAATGACTTTGACAAGTTGAGAGAAGAAGTCTTCAGTCAATCAAACTTCTCAGGGCTAAAGGAGGAACTACATACCCAGTGCAAAGAAACTCAAAACCTTGAAAAAAGAATGGATGAATGGATAACTAGAATAATCAATGCAGGGAAGACCTTAAAAGAACTGATAGAGATGAAAACCATGACACGAGAACTACGGGACAAATGCACAAGCTTCAGTAACTGACACAATCAACTGAAGAAAGTATCAGTGATTGAAGATCAAATGAATGAAATGAAGTGAGAAGAGATATGTAGAGAAAAAAGAGTAAAAAGAAATGAACAAAGCCTCCAAGAAATATGGAATTATGTGAAAAGACCAAATCTACATCTGATTGGTGTGCCTGAAAGTGATGGGGAAAATGGAACCAAGTTGGAAAACGGTCTGCAGGATATCATCCAGGAGAACTTCCCCAACCTATTAAGGCAGGCCAACATTCAAATTCAGGAAATACAGAGAATGCCACAAAGATACTCCTCGAGAAGAGCAACTCCAAGAC